TAATTACATGTTTAGGAGTACTTTTATATTTACCAACAAACATAAGTGAGCAGCTTTTTTACAAAATTGACTGACTGAGCCTGTAAGATCTTATTTTACTGTTTTATGTTTTTGTTTTTTAAGTTTTTAAAATGATATCAACCATTCTCATAAACGCACCAAAATCTTATAGTGTAGTACAAACTGATAAAAATTAAACAGCAAAATTTAATTTAACAGGCACAGTTCATTAACTTTTGTAAGCCAACAGGACTAGGATACCAATTGCAGATCGTTACAGTATTAAAGAGACAGACAGCGAGCACTGAAGGGAAATGATCTCCAAGATTTTATTTCTACTGGTGTGCATAATATGGACTAGCCCATAAGTACACATATAATAATTTTTTGCCTTAAAACCCGAAACAAAAATCACGTGAAAAAACAGACTGAGGTACGCAGTGAACTAGGAAAATTTTTGCATAACGAACGTAAAATAGAGGCATTTTACTAGTAGGCTTTGTAAACACACAGGAAACATCTAAAAATGACAACTTACTCTCCTATCAGCTGAAAAATTTATCACTATTTTTATTATTTTCTTTTTTTTAACGGAAACAGACGACAGATATTCCCAAAATTACATTTCTCTACATTTACCACTAAACCATAGTACAGTGAAAAATTGAGAAAACCAAATAAAAGACAAACAACGCTCTTCTACTTTCTTGCCTCACCTCCTACTTTTGTTTTTGTCTGACTATTATTAAGCTGCAACATAGATAATTAAACGCAACTTTGCAACTAGGAGAATACCAAAGATCTATCATAATCCAAAGAAAAAATACAACTCCACGACACACATACACATACATACATACATATATAAATACAAAGTAGAAGAAAAAAAATTATTCTTTTCAGCAATATTACCCATGAGTCGGAAAGCGATGACAAAGGCCCGGATAATGATATGATAACTGAAATGTGCAGGCCAGAGCCCAGTTTTTACTGGCAGCAAAGGAAAAATTTGATAGAACAGATTTTGGAATTAAAGCTCGAACCAGAAGGGTGTAAAAGAATTGATGGCCTGGACGAAAAAACCAAAGCAATAGAAATGGGCTTATTTTCAAAAACTAGAGCAAAGCTAAAGAAAGCAGAGGAGGTAGATGCTTCACACAAGGTCGTCACAGAGACCATTTTAAATTCATCACTCTAAGTAGGGATCACAGGGATATATCTTGTGACACAGACGTGAGCACAGGACTTCTGAACAAAGAAGTGGGTCTTCTTTCTGGCGGACGAGTCAGCGAGCGAAATGCGAGAAAAGATGAAGAGATACGCGGTGCTTCAACAGACAAATCAAACATGCTACTGATGCAACGGGGCATGCGAGAGAAACCACAGTGTCTGACTTCCGTTTCATCGTGTTCCAAATATAAAAAATCAAGAAACCAGGGATAAGAGTCTTACATAATCAACAGCTATGAAGCAGAATAAAAGATATGAAAGAGAAACTTAAAATAATTAAGGAAGCCGCGCTTATGGTAACGGTGCAACTACTAACTAATTACTATATAAATTAAGACGACGGGGTGATCTAGCACCTACCATGACCCAATACACAGAAAATACATACGCTACACACAACCATAACCACCTACACAGACTGCAGAACGCACAAAAAAATATTCTGGCCACGCTCAGCCACATGATGGGCAACGTTCCAAATTTTGACGGAGACCTAGTTAACCTACCGCTGTTCAAGCAAATGGTGCGAATGGTTGCACAAAAAAAGGGATCGCAAAATGACTTATTTCTTTTAGGCACCCTCGTGAATAGAGTGAAAGGAAAAGCAGCGAAACATTTCACTCCAAGATTAACGCAGTTTAGAACAGCTTCATCAAAGAGCTCTCAGATAGATACTACAGCATTAATGCCACAGACTCGCTCATGCCAACACTATAAACAGTAATCCAACAAGACCGTGTAGTAATAGATAACTTTGGTGGACGAGTACAACAATTGTACAGTAGATTAACGATGTTGTACGATTTAAACCCATTTTTTCCCCCAATTCAAAAACAGACGCTAAAGGCTAACTTGGAATCTGAGGTGGTAAAACTGTTTATGTATGGATTACTTCTAACTTTTAGTAGGAGAATGACAAGCTCTAAGTTACGAGCACAAGGAGAAGCATACGAAGAGGCATCAAAAATCGAGAGCAACCTTCGTTTACAGCAAGCAATACCAGTAAGTACACTCCACGCATACAATAAGGCAACAACCGAGTGGGGGCCACTAGTAAACCTGGCGAAAAAAGGAGAAAAAGTAACGGAAATCACCAATTGGGCACGAGAAGTTGCATCAGAAAAATATAAATGCTGTACATACGAACCGAACATTTAGTTGAGAAACGCCGAAAACTACTAGCAGTGATAAACGACAGGAAGGCTTCAAGGGATAAAGGCAAAGAGCTGAAGGAAAATTTCAATTATTGTCCGTAACTGGGACACTTTGCGAGATACTGTTGCTCACTCAAACAAGACAGGGAGGAAGAGAAGAGATGGCAAAACAAGGGGCATAACCAACCCAGAAATAATACCGATACTAACAGAAATCCCTACAATTATTGGGGCGGAAAGGATAATTTTCACAACAACAGTTATAATAATTATCACAGGGGCTATACCAATGACCCAAGGGATCCTAAGAGCAGGAATAATAATGACAATAACAGGAATAATAGTAACAATGACAGAAATAATAATGACAGTGACAGGTACAATGATTACAACTCTAGATTCAAGATATTGGTAAAAATAAAATTACCTTCACTTTACAAGATTAGAAGAACTTTAGGTAATTTAAGAAACGATTAAATTCATTAAAAATTATAAACATAACGCTGTTAGGTAATAAAGAATTTTGTTGAAACATTCTTGCTTAAATATCCTTTATTTTTTAACTTTCTGGGTTATTGAAGTAAAACTTTCTTAGGCGCGCCTTATACGGGGGTGAACCCATAAAACGAGCAAACGCTGCCATGTCTATAAGTATCTATATATATTACCTGTACTTATATCAGTCAGTGCTGACTGCGCTATAGGCAGAAAATCTGTTCGTCTGACTCTCTTTCTCCCTCTCCTTTCCTTTCACATGCACACAATAGTGCGCCTAAGTTACTCTATCTATTTATATATAAAATAGCTTCTTTCTGAATACTACTCTATATACTCTATGTGTAGAGTAGGTATACCTACTGCTGCATGGTGTAAATCGTAACAAGGCTGTAATACGGGCTAGACTGGGCCTCTATTACAGATAAGGTACTGTCAGGTTAATAATGTCTGACAGAAAACATCTCTTGACCTCTTTGAAGTCTTCAAAAAAATGTAGGAAAAATGCGAAATGCGAAATTAAGCGAATGCAGGACTAGTCCGAGCCATGGGTATACTTTTTTCCTAAAAAATAAAATAAAGAATTTATGTTTTGTACAATAATGTTCTGCTTGATCCTCCAGGACTATCTATAATAGTGTTTTGTCATTCTATTTGCAATTATTTGGAAATAATTTTCTTCGTCACTGTTTATTTAAATAACTGTTGCATTAAAATTATTTTTTTAGAGCGTTACCACTTCAGTATTTTCATCTTATTATAAGGCATTTATTCTTATCATTAAAACATTTAATAAATAACAAAATAAATGTTCTAAATTAAAATATTTATTTATACGAAAAAGTAAGCAATTTTTGTTATTCGTATCAAAATATTCTGTGAAATAAGTTTTACAATTCTGTTTCACTAACTTCCACTACTATGAATATTTTTGAAAATTTACAATAAAGCAGGAAATTATCTTGTTTAGCTAGGAAGTATTTTGGCACTAGTCTTATCTAAGGTATTCTTAAATTAAGAATCAGTTTATTGTTTATCTACTGTTATAGCAGTTTGTTTAACTGTTTTTAAAGTTGTATTGTTATGCATTATTCGTACTTAAATTAATAATAAAAAGAAAATCATAATAATTAGGAACAATAATTTTTTTTTTAAACGAATTTTAGAACAAAATTCTTTATTGTTTATCAAAATTTTAATTTTCAATAATACTGCCGTATTTCAATAATTTTTCAATTTTTTATTTTATTTGATTCAGCAGTTTTTATTTGATTCAATGGGTTTTTAAAGTTATGAATACAAAATAAGAAGCACACACAGTTGAGAATGCAGAGATTTTTGAATATTTACGCATAGTTTTTTATTTTTATTGACTACAGATATGTAAAATTACTTACATGTACCCTTAAGATGTAAAAACACGATACAAATTAAAGAAACGCAATTTTTTATATTTAGCATACTTTATTTTAATAAATCTGACCTTGACAATTACATTTTAACTTTTTGTTTTCTTAATAATTACTGTTTTGGAACCAAGTAATTGTATTTAAATAGTTTTTTATTAGGCATGAGGAAATGTGATAAGAGATCACTCCACATTGGGAATATCAGAGTAGCTTGAAATGAGTTCTTGTCTTTATCGAAATGGGACCACCTTTACAACAGATATAAGTATCTTCGAGGCGAGTATGTTTTTACTTCATGTCTGACGTACCCTCTTCAATCGAAATCAGTATTGCTCAGGTATTCTAGCTTTGTTATTTAAGCATTGTAAAATGCTATAAATATAAATGCTGAATATTATTATAACATAAGATTCGTGCTCTTGAATCTTGGATGCTTTTAGCTCATGCTCATTATCTGTATTTTATGATATTGACAGTTTTATTGAAGCTATTGAAGTGTTAGTCGATATCTCGTAGTAACAAAGCTGTAATGATAAAGGATGTGACTTTTTTAAAATACAGCATAAAAAATACAACCTTAGGTTTCATTAGAGCTTAGGACTTACTGCTCTGATACTTTTGTTCTAAGCACATCTTAATGTTTTTGTTCCTCTTGTGCACGTATTTCCTACTTTCTAATATCTAGCCACAAGTAAAGTAGATATTTGTGTAGATTTATACAGCGGAACAAACGGGAGCCAATTTCAGCAATTCAACGACACCTGTTAACTCACCTCCTTCGCTAAGTAGCTCAACTCCAGGTTGGACATCAGGGGGAGCACCTATTTCCCCTCACGTGGCAACGGACTCAAGTCGAGGTTCATCTTCTTTGTACATGGTTCGTATACTGAATTTGTATGTTTAATTAATTTGTCACTTATTAGTGTATAAGAAAATATTTAGAAGAAGAGAAAATTTTTTTCTATGAATCAAATGACTTTATAATTTGGGAGCAATAAACTTGTGGAAGTTAGATGTAAACAGGCAGTACCACGTAAACACGTAGGTCCTTTACCCTGGGTGAGGAGATGTGGAGACGCACGAAAGCAGGCAGTGGTTTGGATGGCATGGTGAAGGGAAAGGGAAAACGAGGCTAGGGCCTAAGCAGGTTTGCAGGAGGAAAGGACCTGGTTGGAGCAGACTCAAGTAGCAGCTTCTGGTTGTGGTATGAAGTACGGATCGTTCTATTTTCTGCCAGAGACAATGTCGTACTTGATTTCAAATGTATCATTTCCACATGATTCTCGTTCAAGCGTTTATAAGTCAAAGCGGTCATTCAACTTGGCCAACGAGACGAGTGAGTAAATCACCTTTGTGATAATTTCTTATCACTGAAGCAATAAATTTCTTGAGGTGGCTTCACAGGCGTACTCGTCTTTGTTTCCTGATTGAATTGCCCATATTTCTTCGAATTTCCTCATGTATCGTATTACCGTGCCACCTAGCTCACATACCCCGTTGATCCTGCAAGGCGTCCATAATAAAATTTTTTAATTTTGTTGATTAGTATCAAATGACAATTAAAAATCCAGTGGGACATGTGCTAAAGGGTTTTTCTGTAGATATTTAAGTGTTAAAAGTGAGCGTTTAATAGTAGGAAGAAAAAGGGTGGTTATTAATCTACATAGTTTTTTCTTTATTTTACATGATGCCCAAAAAATAATGGATATTCTTTTCTGGCTTATGCGTACATTGTACTGAGAAAAAATTCCATCAACATGTAAGATTTTATTGATGGATATAAATTCAATGTACCTTTAACACACACAAAGTGGAGATTCATGTGATAATTTGCAATTTATGAATAATAATGCGATTCGTTGTTTGATTGATTTTAAGCCGTAATCAAATCGGGTGTGAATGAAACTTAATGACTTATTTTTTGTTTTTCTTAAGATATCAGCTTCGCTATTATATTAAGTTTAATTCTTTGTACTTTTCTGTGCAATATGGTTGTGTGCAAGAACTTCAATGTATCTTGAGATTAATTTGTAATCATTTTGTATTTCTTTCACGCATCTGATACTCTTGGTCTTAACCATACATTTATTCCCTTGTAATAAATAAATTTCTCTCTTGTTGAATGATCCAAACAACCTATCCTGTCCCCCAAAAAAGTTAAGACCCGCATACTAATGTAAAACGTGCATTTTATTCATTTGAAAAAAAAAAAAAAAACTGATGAGGCTGTATTTTTTAGAAAAAATGAATAAATCAATAAAAAAATACAAAATTTTTCGTCTTATATGAGTTTTTGTTTAGCTTCCAAAAAGCAAAACAAGACTTACACTTTTGTTTAGGTTTATTAAGAGGTACAATGAAAAAAAAAAATTTCTATTAGTGGCAAAAAGAATACAGTCACTCACGTTTTGGTAAAATTATTATTTTATCCAGGCAACGTACTGTATCTAAATTCAATAAGCTATTTGCCCTGTTATGCATGCCATGCCCAGAGTAACGTTAATGAGTATCATTACTTAGGCATTTTTTTATAACTGAAAAGGTTGAAAATTCAGTATGTTGTTAACTAACTATAACAAGAGATTATTCTGTGAAAAATGACGTATTACAGCACCACAACTTTCATTGGGTTATTTTACAAAAGTACATTTTTTTTATTAAGCTACGATTAGAAAATAATTGTACATCTGATCTAACTCAAACTGTGTATGATAGTTGATAGACATGAGAGCTACAACATCTATACAACAATAGTAGTTATAAATTCTTGAAATTTTGAGGAATATTGATAGCTCTCTGTTAATTTATAAATAAAAATAATCACTGGCTTACCAACAACATTTACAGCAATGGTCACACTAAGCTAAATTGTACTGTACCTCAAGAAAATTTAATGTACCACCTGGAGTTCTTATTTTAACGACTACGTACCCTTGGTATATTTCTATTGTTCATCATGTATACAGCTATTTTAACGTAAAACAAAGATAATGCCCACCACACTTGCGCTCGAAGGAATGAAAAAGCTAAAATTTATTAGAATACATTAAGAATTTTAGATAATGGTCAAAACTCACAATTATGAAATTGTACTAAGGTACCTACTATATTTGATTTGAGTTTTTCCCAAGAGTCATGTATCAAATAATCTGAAATAATATCAAATAATCTGAAATTCAAACAGGATTTCTAAAATTCTAAGGCAAACGTGGGTCTTGTCATAATACTTGTAAAAATTGAAAATCTTAAGTCTTACTGTAACCAGTATTGTCAGTATTATATACATATATATATGTGTATATATATCTATTCAGTATTTTCATCTTATTATAAGGCATTTATTCTTATCATTAAAACATTTAATAAATAACAAAATAAATGTTCTAAATTAAAATATTTATTTATACGAAAAAGTNGTGTGACCTGAAACAAGTAAGAATTTAATTTTTCAATTGATGATGTAAATTCATAGTAATTTTTTTTGCATTCATTTTTATTACATTTACAAAGAACCTAGAAAATATTTTTGGAATAGTTGTTTTTTGGTCCATGCCTACTAGCTTCCCCGCCCCGCCCCTCGTCTCACAAGCCCAAAAGCCCATCACACAAAATCACGTTAAATTATGCTTGTTTTTAAGTGTTTAAAAAGGAAAATTAGACTAAAATGAAAGCTTCTTCGCCCCACCTTACGCCGCCCTTCAGCCACCCTACAGTTGCCCCACAGAGATGTATGCCGATAAGGAGAAATGGATGCCCTATAGTAGGCAGGCATGTTAAAAATGTCTATGATACTTTGGTCTGATAAGTCTGGTAAGCCTGTTATAAATACAAGACATCTAATTTGCCTGTTGGACGTGTGTAGATTATTTAAAACAAAAGTGGAACTTATATTGAATGACGTAATGGAAAAAAAACTTTTTAAAGTAATAGCTCATATTTATACAGTAGAGTTTAAAAAACGTGGCTTACCTCATGCACGTAAAGTTGTTACATTAAATTCCAATTATAAGTTACATACAAACAAACACATTGACAAATACACATCTGCGAAAATCTTACCGAATGAAAAACATTTAAAGAAATTAGTTTTAGAACATATGCTTCACGGTCTACATATAAACAGTAATCCATGTATTCAAAAAAATCAAAAACTTTGTGAAAAAAAATTTCCAAAAGTGTTTACTAAGAATACTGTCTCAAAATAAAATGGTTATCCTGAGTACAAGAAAAGGGATACTGGACGAGATAATACTGATTACAAAATAAAACATAGTAATTAAATTATTTCAGTAGATAATTCAATGGTAGTTCCATATAATCCATTTTTATTCAAATATTAGTTTTCGTCGGATAGGTGCCGTCATCTCTGGGACTATTTTGCGGCCCAAGGGATCTGCGAATCAGGGCCCGAGAGACATGAGGTAGCCACAGAGCGATGGCACTTATGTCACGAATTTTTTTTTTCTACCAAGGGCGCACCAAACCTTTAAGAACTCCAGAGGTCAGAAATAGTAGTTTTTCTACGAGTTTAAAAAGTCTCTGTTTGCGAACCAAGAGGTTTGCGGCCAGAGCCGAAGGCGAGGGACGTAACGATGTTCGTAAAGGAGACTTTTCGAACGAGTATCGGAAAACTGCTTTTTTGCCCGAGGAAGTACCAGCCTCCTGAAACCACCCGAGGGCGGAAAAAATGTAAATGTCACATAAACGTAGAACACTGGGAATCAATAAATAGTATAAAATATATTTTTCCGACTTTGGGCGTTCTTGAGGGTTAGGTGTGCCCTTGGTAGGAAAAATAGAATTCGCTAAATAAGCACCAATGCTTCGCAGCTACCTTACGTCCCTCGGGCCCTGCTTCGCAGGTCCTTTGGGCCGCAAAATAGCCCCAGAAGCGATGGCAATTGTCTGATGAAAACTGCTATTCTTACCATGCGCCCAAAGTGCAACTGCCACTTTGCGCCCTCGGGTCACATTTTGCGCCCTGGTCATCAGGCACCAACATACAACAATCGCGCCCTTCGAGTGCTCATGTTTGTACTTTGTGCCCTAGTGACGTAATGTTTTATAATGATAACATACACAAAGGAGAAGATAGGACATTTTAAAAAATACAATAATTTGATGAAAATAAAGAAACAACTGATATTTATGACGAAATTACAGAATTTATTGACGGTCGCTACATTAGTTCTATGGAAGCCGCATAGTGGTTGCAAGAATTTCCTTTAAGTGGTGGATGTCATAGCGTAATTTATACAGCATTTTATACTGAAATTCAACAAAACTAAATTTTTTATAAAAACAATGTTGATGAATATTTAAACAATTGGATTACAACTTTAACAAGTTGGTTCGAATGAAAGAAAGTAGATAAATTTGCACACAAAGTTGAAAACATTATTATTCCAGAATATTACGGTTATGTATCACAAAAAAAAATTGTCAAAAAGTTGTACAAATAAGAAAAAAAACTTATCTTGGTTGTTTAAATTTTGTATCACCAAGAAATCAATCAAGGTTTTTTTTTAAATTAATTTTTAATAAAAAAGAAGGTGGTACTTAATTTCAAAATTTGAGATTCCGTGATAACTTATTGCATAATTCATATAAGAAATAAGCTGTTGGCTTAAGATTATTTAAACATGATTTTCAAGTGCCAACAATTTTGTAAGAATTATGCAACGTCATGCTACCTTCCAAATTAAAAAAACTTTTTGCATGGCTTATTCTGTCTAAAAATTAAGAGAGTCTTACAATTTAAAACTCATTTAAAAACTATTTTATGGAAGACTTTATGTAGACAAGGTGAATAAAACTTTAACAATTATAAATAAAATTTTAAAATCAAATGATAGGATTTGTACGGATTTTGGTTTA